TAATGTCTTACCGTGAAGCTTTGCTTTTTTTTTTTTTTTTTTTTTTTTTTTCTCTTTCAAGAGTAAGAATCCTAAAGGAAAAGTGTAAGTATTAGAATATGAAACAAGTCTTTCTAACTTGGGAACTTCTGAGATTTCTTTACTGTTCACACTTCTAAACTGTTTCTAAAATGCAAGACAGAAAGGCTAAATACAAACCAGATAAATATTCCCTATGTTATTCAAGTGGTTTAGAGGGACCAATATGTAAACTGGTGAATATGAAAGTTATTAATCTCAAATGAAATATACAGATCTGTGCTAACGCATAATACAAACCTCCCTTGAAAATATGGAAAAGTGCTTCTTTTCACTTCAAAACTTACTGCAGTGCACAAGGAAAAAGATATTGTTTTGTGTACTCATTTTATCTATGTCTTGTATAATACCATAGCTAACTGGCAGGGGGGACAGATGGATGTAGGGTTGAAGTTATCCTAGGAGAGAGAAATGGAGAGAGGGTTTAAGAAGAAAAGAAGAAAAAAATACCTCAACAAATGCATAAAATCTTCAGCTCATTATTGTAAGAGTATGAAAGATCACATCCTTTTTTTTTTTTTTTTTCTTCAGGAGAGATAAGATTATAGGTTACTCTTTCTCATCTAGTTATTCAGTACTACAAGACATAAAGAGCAAAATAATACTTAGTTTTGTGTTATAAGGAATGAAAAGAATAACTGCCAAAGTTTCTAAATTGTTTTAAGGTGTCTTAAGTCATTCAGGGGCTGTCTCCTGAATGTGCATGTGCATAGGCCTGAGCAGACACCTGCATCTATATGGAGGTCTGCTCTTGATCCTTAATAGGACACCAAGTCTTATTAATTTCACACAATTGTTAATAGAGTTTTATTGGGTTGTTCTGTAGAGGATCTCAAGCTGAATTTCATTGGAAATAGACTGGTGAATATTTTCACTACCTTTGGAACTTCAGTAGCTTACCTTTGCTGCTATAAATCTTTGCTTCAGTCCTCATTTATGGATTTTCTTTTTTAACATGTTTTTAGGTGACTATGGCTGCAAATGTCAACTGGTGCAAAATGCCATCAAGATTTTTAGTACCATACTCCTGCTCATTTAGAATCTCAGTACTTTAAAAGATACAGCATGCCTTTCTCCACCTTCAGATTTATGCATCTTACATTTGCATTTAAATAGTCCCTTTAATGACAACACGTTATTCCAGTTCTATCAACATCTAGTTTTAGTATCCAGGTACAACAAAACAAATGTATGATGTGTTTCCTGGGAATTCAGTTTGATCCATGTAAAAATGTGACTTTCATACAAAAAAAAAAAAAAAAAAAGACAGAAGGGAGAAGCTGTTGGCAAACAAAAATGTAAGAAAATGGAGCAAATTCTTTTGAAACTGCTTCCTAAGGTCCATAGGAAAGTAGTTAAACCCAGGGGGTAGAGACGGAGCATATGTGCCAAGTAGCATGCAGCAGAACAAGCGTAAGAAATGAAGGATTCCATGCTGCCTGCTGTGTATAGACGTGCAGTTCTTATTGCCCATAGTACAGCTGTGTTGTTTCTCAGTGCTATAGTTTGTTCTTTAAATCAAGCCACAACCAGTCCCCAGACTACTGTGAATGCTGTAGTTAAGGTGATAAATTCATAGTGCTGGAAATGATTACCTATGATGTAGGACAGGAACTGATTTCTCAGCTTCTGAGTATAATAGAAATGAAAGAATTAATTCTTCCAACAAATACCACTTCATAAAATGTTGTGCATTAGCATTGTGAGAGGATCCTAAGATTTTTTCTGATGCCCTCATATGAGAAAAACATCTTCAAGTTGTTAACAGTTTTTTCTATATGTGTTTTAAAATCTGTTTGTGTGTTCTCCTAACTGCAGTTCTTCAGGTCCAAATACATTATTCTGTGAATTTGCATTCTGCTAAATTTTGTATTTTTTTCCCACAGCGTTTGTTTGACCATACTGTGAAATAAGCACCTTTCCTGAGTTACACGAACAATTAAGATACAAGTCACTTTCTTGTACATGTATCAATGCTCATTTGTCACCTTTTTGTCGATTCATTGTGTTTTGAGAGGTTCTTTAAGAGTTTTCACCCCATCAGCATAGCACTTGAATATCCAAATCTATGAGTTGGAAGGCTGCACTGCATGTGCCATTTGTTGATGAATTCAAGTGATCACTGCACCAATCTTTTGCTTTTTGTATTATGAGATGCGAGTATAGGAAGCCCTATCTACTACTTGGTACCCTTTAATTGGTTTTCAATTCATGAAAAGGACATTTTCTCCAATTTCAGATTACATTCTTTATTAAAGCCTAGCCTAGGGGTTTTTATACACATGCTTCTCTAATACCATTCTAGCCCTGTAGAAGCTTTGTGAAACTGTAAGCAGTCCGACAAATCTCAGCTGACCATTTTAACCTTTACCCTCAGTAAACTAACTTACTCTTTATTACAGACTTGACTATCCTATTGGGACTGGAAATTGTTCACAGGTTCACAGCAGTGAGGCTTCCCTCTAGATTCCTTTTACAGATGGGAGCCATGCTGCAATCTGTCAGTCCTCTGACACACTGGCAATCTGTACCAATGGGTGAAGGCACTTTGGTCAGTAGTTTTGAAGCCTCACATTTGATTACTTTCAGAGATCTTTGTTAAATGCAATTTGGTCCTGAGAAGTTACCACATCTAGCTTATTTATTTAAAGCTAATACATAGAAGGTGCTTGAATGAAGTAGCTCTTCTGACCTATCCGATACAGAGAACTCATTCTCTATGTCACAGTCTCAACAATGGGTGCCCCCTTCTTAAACCTTAGTCACCAGATCTCTCGTCAGTTCCCTTCTTGTTTTCCTGCTCTTGTTGTGTTAATAATTTGGTACCAACCTGAACATTATCTTCACGTTACTCTTCTAGCCCTCTTATATTTACAGCTGACTTGTGATGTTCTATGAATGTTTCTGTTCCCCTTGCCAGCATTTAAACACAGAACTCCCTAAGATGCTTTTGTAACTTTGATCTATGTAAGTCTCTTTCTTCTCTTTGAGTTGTGGCACATGTTTAACTAGATACCTAATAGAATATTTAACAGTTTGCAGGCTGTGTCTTGCTATTCAGGTTGTTCCATTATTTATTATAATTGCCTGCATTTACTGCCCCTTCTTTGAAACTGATTATCTCAGTTTCACTTTGATTGTCCACTCTTGCAACAATATTAAACCTATTTTATTGTTCTTGCTTTTACCAAGTTACTGTCTCATGAATCTTTCTTGTACAGGTATCCACGTACTGAGCAAGATGCTGCTCTTGACTGGGTTATTAATTGTGAGATCTATTCTTTATTCCAGGAAGTCACTGTATACCATTGGAAAACTTAGTCTCATCAGATCTCTCACTACCACTGCCTGAACATAGCAGTTTCTCTTATCTCACTTCCTGATTGCTATCATTATCTTGATCAAAGGTCAGTATCACAGTTCTTAAGGATTAAATTTATTGTTACAGGAGCACAGACCTCTGTGCTGTTGTATCCCATGTTAGCCTTCTTGCATTGTGCTGAAGGCTATCTGCATATGTTATGCCATTTTTAAGTCAGTAGCCTGACAACAGTGTCATACTGGTGTGTGTGTGTGTGATACTATATGTATCTGTGTGTACACACACACACACACCTATCTGTTCTATCTTCGATAGTGATATGTGGCTCTGGAGGCAGTCTGATTTGCCTTCCCTATGTGTTATGATGTGCCTTCCTAGCTAGCATTCGGTGCTCCTTGGAAAAGGCTACATCTGCCTTCATGCTTTGAGCTAGAAAACAGGTGTTAGAGTTTGTCAATTTTCCCCCAGTTTCTAGTTTAAATATTGCTCTACAACTCTGCAACAGTTTTACGCCAGCAGTTTAACGCTGTCCTTCTTGTTTTTCATTTTAAGAAGTTCTTAACATACCTTCCAGAATTGTAGAAGCCCAGAACTGGACACAATACTTCAGATTTGGCCTTATGCCGGGGCAGAGAAGATAAGAACAACCTCCCTCTACCTGCTGGCCACACTTTTTTTTTAATGCACCCCAGGATACCATTAGCCACCTTGGCCACCAGGACACACTGCTGGCTCAAGGCTAACCTCTTGGCCACCAGGACACATCAATTCTTCTTGGCAGAGCTGCTTTCCTGCAGATCATCCCCTAGCCTGTACTGATGCATGCAGTTACTCCTCCCCCAGTGTAGGACTCTGCACTTGCCCTTGTTGAACTTCATAACCCTCCTCTTGATCCAACTCTTCCATCTGTCCAGTTCCTACTGCTTCCAGAATGAATACCTACAGTGTTTGATGAAGTGAGTTTTGTAGAGTTCAGAGAAACTCATCCTCACGTTTAGAGATATTCATGTATAATACATGAAGGAAATTCCAATCTGATTTTATTCCTGGCATGCCAGTGAAAGTGAACTGGAACTTGCAAAAAGTGTATGCCTACAATTCTTCTTTCCTGAGCTACGCTAAATATAGTATGCAGGCACATACAAAGGTATATACTTACACATGAAAGCATTTCATATGAGGTGTGAGCAGGTACAGAAGTGACTTATCCAAGATTTGATCCTTGCACTTGTATGTTAGCTACAAAGTATGAGATTGCACTACTTCTAGGAGCATCACAGCTACCAAAGGTTACAGTGTATTTTGGAGGGAATTCTGCATGGCACTATGTTAGCATGCTCAGTGTACAATCAATCCAGTAAAATTAAACTTCTAAGCTAATCCTTTTATTCTCTAAGTTTACACTTTCAAAGCAAAGTAATAGCAAGATACATGTTATACTACTCATTATAGATCCCACCATGGTATTTCTCTAAACAGTAGTTGAAGAAAAAATTATTTGATCATATTCTAAAATGCATCTTAAAACAATTAAACAAACTTCAGATTTAAAACTTGACAAAACTCTTTGGATTCTTGTACTAAAATTAATAGGAGAGCCTTAAGACTTATAATGAAGTTTATTCAAATTCTTGAGCACAGATTATATGTAACATTTTAGTACTTCCCAATGAGATATTTATGGTATATATCTATAAATTAAGCATTCATTGCATAAAACTGTATTCATTTCTCTGCATACTATACAAATTATCACAGAAACTGATGAGCCAACTAAATAGTCTTGAATACGTCTAACAGTGGCAGGCAGATAAGCTGGTATTACTGATGTTATCTTCATGGTAAGCAGCTCTAAATGAATCTCTCTTGAATTCACTTAATTAAGAAGCTGAAAAGAAAGGAAACATGATTAAAAGCTGAAAAATGCCTATAAAATATAGTATTGCAATTATTTCGAGAGAATAAACAAGGACTTCAAAACAGTCATTTGAAAAGCCATTCAATGTTTGTGTAATAATCTCTTAAATGTTTATATCTCATTAGATAATTACTAAGTAAGCATGAAAGTCATCAAATAAAAACCTGAGTGACTGAAACTTATATTTTCATATTAAAAACATTAAAAAGCAAAATGCACTTCAAACATCTGTTCTCTTCAATCAAGCTCTGCACCTGCTCTTACTACCTAAAAGTAAAAGCTATGTCTCCTGGGAGATATTTCAGATTTATTTTAATCATTCTTCCCTTGTAGAAGTGGCCCCTGAGTGGGGAGGGTACAAATGACTTGGCAAGGTTCTGAATGGCTCCAGACTCTTAACATTCTTAATGTTTTAATAAATTAAGGAGTTTCAGATGACATTGCTGCTTCTTCATCCCTGGGACAAAACCTTGTATTTAAAATAAAAATTAAAAAAGCTTACGTTTCAATTGTCATACATTTCATTTGAGGTTTTTCAAGGACATTATCAAATGAGGTATGTTTACAAAGGGGAACGCAGAGAGAAAGAGTTGTGCATAACCGCAGATTGAGTTAATTCTATAAACACAGAATAATGACAGGCTGAAGTGAAGGGTTACTACAGCTTGACTGTGTCTAGCTTCATATGAAAGAACTTTTGATTCCTCAAAGATATACAATGTCCTCAAGTATACACATCATATTAACTTCATCACTTTTCCATTTATGGCATAATTAACTACTCATTGCAAAACAGCCATGCAAGTGCCATGAGCTAAAAAGACAATACACTATAAAGATGTTCCCTGCTGCAAAAAGTTGACATGCTCATTAAGCAAGACATACAGACCAAGGCAAAACAGATGGCAACTGGCTGGGTGCTAGAGGGTGAAGTGATTATTGAAAAGGAAATGCAAGAACAACTATACAAAGAGAACTGCAAAGTGCTGAACTGAGAAATAAGAGAATGCTGTAGGATAGGTATGCAAGGCCATGTACAGGAAAGAAGGAATGAAGAAGAGAGGAATAAAGATAGTGGGAAAATTTCAGGCAGGAAGAATAGGAGGGGTAAAGGGTAATCAGGCAAGTAGCAATGACAGAATCAGGGGTGGTGAAAAACTGAAAGGTATTACTGTAGGAAAATATAAATATAGCAATGTCATTTTGAATAAATATTCTGCTACTATATCTGCTACTGTATCTATATTACTGTTTGTCTGTAGCACAACTGAAGTACATGTTTAGCAGCTAAGGTAAATAGCAAAAGTAATGCAGAAGTTATATATGTCTAAGAAGGAAAAAAAGCCAAAGGTTGGAAAACACAAAGCACCAAAACATTATAAAAATCATGAAACAGACAGTAGCCAAAAAAAGATGGAGAGGGGGGCAAGGTTTCAGAAAAACCTGTAAGGACAAGTTGAGTAATATCTGTTTAAATCGATCTTAAAAGACGTACTACAGAGCCAGACACCTGAAATTTGGAGCTCTTATTCTTTAAAGGACTAGAAACCTCACAGAGAAGACTGTGGAAGTCTGCGGCTATTCGTGCACTCAGTGCACACAATATTTGATTATTTAGATGAAGAAACTGGTTTGTTTTCCATTTCAGTGGGCAACTTTTTTTTTTTTTTTTTCTGAAAAACTTGCTGTCCAGCCATAATAAGAGAAGAAATATGGAAAATGGTATTATCATTCTCCTGTCTTTTAGAATTATCCTGGTTGCCTCAGTTTTGAAGGAAGTAGTTTATTTTGTTGAGTGCTACAGACCTGACTGTGAATCATAGTGTTTAACAGAACTAGATTACCAGTTCATAAATTTCAGGTGAATCAAACTAATTAGGTGTAAAGTCAATGTGGAATATCTGAGCAGTTATTTGCAGCACTCACATTTACTAATACTTTAATTTTATTTGTCTGTAGACACTGTTTATTTGTTCTATTTACTTACATTTTAACAATCTATTTTGAAGAAATTACTATTCTATTTTATTCATTTGTATTTAATCTCAGTTGTTCAATATTATTCAAGAATTCTTTACTGAAACTAATTTAATTAAGTCGAGGATAGACATTTCTTATATGGCATATACAGTAAATGCAAGGTATCCAGCTCCGCATCTTGTCTGTTCTTGCTCTGACTCTAGGTAAAGAACAAATACTTCATGTCCAACTTAACATTCATGTTTATTTCATGAAAATAAGGCATCTTTTATTTATCATGCTTTCTTTCAGCTTATTTCTTTTTCCATGCTAGTCATTTCAAAATATGTATTTTCCCAATGTATTAGTTCATAGTGCTGAAGGCTGATTATTTTTTTATTATTTAACTAAAGCCTCTTCACCTTAATGTTTTCAGTAATACACAATTGCAATTGCTTTCAAGGCTAATCTGATAATGAAACTCACAACTGCAGGTGCCAAAAAATTGATAAAGATACATAATGCGAGCAACTTAATAAAAAATTACATAAAACTCTCACATTTTCTGCTGTTCGTATTATTTTAAATCACATTAAAACAACAGTGCATGGTAAGACGTAGACTTGAAAGGACAATAAAAGGTGCCATCAATAACAAAATGACCCTAAAAATTTCAAAAAGTCTACTTCATAGATTTCAACCAAAGATAAAACAAAACAAAACAAAAATCATGGATAACTTTTTTTTTTTTTAAACACCATTATACACTGAATAAGACTTTTGTCTTTTTCTCTTAAAGAAACCAGCATTACAAATATTTTTATTGCTACTATTCACAGTGATACACTACTCTGCTAATGTACTGATGCATTCTCTCTTGTTCTAACTGTCCCTCCTCATTCTTAATATTTTATGTGTTTTCTTGGACTGCACCAACCTAATGTAAGGTTTGCATAGAACTTTCCAAACTCTTTTCTGAATACAAAAGCTTAGATTTCATCCTTCTGGCTTATAGTTAAATTTGTTCTCCCTATTGTTAGCATGTGTCCTAGTTACTAATAACATTATGTTGAGGTAGTGAAATGCTCAATGACTGAATATCTGATACTTAATTCATCATTTATCCAATTTAAATGCTGGAGCGAGAAGGTTTCTAAAAATATTCCTTTGGATGTATCAACATTCCTGGTCTTATTACAGAACCACAGAATTGCAGGGGTTGGAAGGGACCTCCAGGGATCATTAAATCTACTGCCCAGCCAAAGCAGGTTCCCTACAGCAGGTAGAAGGGATAAAGGGGAAAATGTACAACGGTGAAATAAAATTAATGTATTATCATTCAACCATTAATGACAACAATTAAAATAAAGGTTTTAGCAAAAAAAAGAAAAAAATCTATCCTGTTCCCACAAAAGGTGGTTTAGTAGCATAAAAAGCCAGCCATAGTAAAAATGACTATAGGGGAGAAATTTATTACATGCTTACTCATCCATCACGAATCTATATACCCTGTAAATAATCTTCATGATGATCTCAATTTTGCATTCCATCTCTCATTCCAAAGGTTTACTGTATATTTGTATTTTACCAGCACATTAAAACATTATTTTTGCTCAACCTAACTTTCAGGAAAAAATATTCTATGGAAGGGAGAATCAAAACCTAATTTGAAGATGTCTGAAGCAGTTTAAAATGATGTTACTCTCCCTTCCTACACACACGTGCGTGTGTGTGTAAAGAGCATATTTATAGACTTGTGCTGTTCTGTAGCACTCTTCTGGAAACTTTTCTGTTTGTCACAGAAATTAACACTGATAATGGCATTACCATTAATCAAGGCATTACCAGCATCAAGGAGGTAACAGCGTTCCCAGTACTTTAATTTATGCATCTTAGAAAAGGAAATAAATTTATCAGGTTTTTGACTCCAGTTATATGTTTATCTAACTCTGTTTTGATTTATCTTCACTACACGAAGGTCACTGGAGAGAAGCAGGCTGCACAGTAGTTTATGTTACTTTTGCAGTTTTTATTGATGCATCCTGTTTCACATAGGACACATTTGAGGGTTTATTGACAGAGAGCACAAACAATTCTGTGTATTTGGCTTTTTTTAAAGTAAGACAAAAATTGATGTTTTTGATAGTGCACATAAAGAAAACAAATTGTTTAAATGCTAAATGTTACTTTAGGTATGCCAACATAAGCATCCTTTCTTTTTTTCTAATAAATCATTAGTATGCACTGTTTCTAGTGGCATTAAAGTTTTACTAGCCTGAGGCCAATTTATCACATAAAGACTTACAGTTTCAAGGTGAAATCATAACCAGTTAAAGTAAAAAGACAGACATATTTCACATTTTTAAGATATAATCACACTGGGATCTATTGATGAGACATAAAAAATCCTTGGATAGATGCTAAGAAAGTCAGACAAATAAATGTGTATCAACAGATATGACTAAAATTAATGTGTAGAATATAACATTAAAGGGACAAAGAAAAAAATAAGAGAATTTACATACTTGGTCCTTCTGCACACTCACTTCATTAGAATTTGTAACTATGCACATAAACCAAAGAACTCCTCTTCAGAATGAGTATGACATTGTCATGAATATGGTTGAGACAACTGAAATTTAATGGCAAGGCTAAAAGGTAGTTTCCAGAGAAGGTGATGAGAGGCTGCACAGACTATTCCAGATGGCAAATTACAAAATCCATACTGATGAAATCTCACAATACTATACTACAGGGCCCTTTGCTGATCAATTTCCTTAGCAGAACAGAGTAAAAAGCAGGAAAAGACCTGTGCATATTACGAGGAGAAGAGTTAAACTATCTTGAGTAGTGGTACAAAACTGAGAAAGCTGGCTTCTGTACTAACACACAAGACCACTCATGGAAATCAACATTAATTATTAGAAAAAAATTTAGTATTCCCCGCATGACTCATTAACAGTGACTGTTTAAAAAAAATAATAATAATAACAGCAGAACTGATAATATTAATAGACTGTTCTTTTTTTTTTCTACTTACTTGAAAATAGAGACTTCTGAATCTGCATTGCTAGCAGTTCCCTTATGTATATTTTGTACATGCATTAGACGACAATTCATAGTGTCAAAAGATCTTTCAGCAAAGCATTACTACATCTACACTACAACATGAATGTCATGCACTTACTTTGTTCAACCACGGTAAACAGTAACACAGACTAATATATAATATGTGATTTATTAGTCTACTAGTTTAAAGAAAACAATTTCACTGGAAATAATGAAAATCTCATCTTTTTAAAATGCATTCTTGCCACTTAGATTGGGTAAAACAGCTCTTAGCTGGTTTTTTACATCTTAGCTGTACTGTAAAGCCTTGCGTAGCAAGGCTATGTCAATTGTATAAATATGTTTTGTATGTGTATATATGTACATATACATGTACATAATAGTTATTAATCTTGGATTTAGTTGTAACAACAGAAGACTGACTTTTTTTCAAGTGGCCTGGTCCATCATGACTATAGCACAGAAGACTTAATTGCATGTTACTTTTTCTCCTAGCCTGGCTTTTTCAGGTAAATCTAAAAATACTATCAGGATCATGAGAAAATGATATGGGTTCTTGAAAGGCTACTAAAAAAAGTGTGTAACAAATGAGCAAGATGTAAATCAGAAATCTAGGCAATCTCTACAGGTGACTCACAGCTGAATTACAGAAAGAAACATGTAAAAAGTTTTATAAATTCAAACATAATTTTTCCTTCACATTTTTCATGGAGCACTGTATAAGCCATGGTCTGTACTCAAATGGTCTGCATTAACAGTCATTCTAATCCCATCAGCTTTCTATTTCTTTCTGATTTGCTCCAGTTGATCACCTTTCTTTCTGCTTCTTCCAACTCCCATAGATTCCAGTGGTAAAAATTAAAGATTTGTTATGTAAAAAATGTTCTTAAATTTAGACAATGTTATTAAAATACATCAGATGAGAATTTAATGAAAAATTACCTGTATGGGTAGCCATGGTATTTGGAGCGGAATATGGACAACAGGAAGCTGAAGAAAAAGACCACCAGCCCCAGGCCTACTAGGCATATTACTGGAAAGAAAATAACTTTGTTTACTAGCGTATAAAAGATTTAAAACTGGAATCTCTACAAAGAATATTATTTACGTCAATCATTTATATAGAATTTTGACAGTGAAATACAGAAACACTGCTGCTTGCCTACTGATGCTCACTATCTTCTGATAGGATTTCAAATACACATGGAAATAATATTTATGGTTATTAAGAAAAAATAACTTGTCAGTTCAAATGTACTTTCAAGAAAAGAGAGCAGCAATTTGCAACTCAAATGTTTGCGGATGCAAACACCTCACTGCTGATAACAGATTTAATAACACTTTAAATTATACATGTCAAGCAATGTCATTTCAGGTATTTGCTTGTTCTTTTGGAAAACAAATTACATTTAGAAAAAACATCCCTGGACTAATGGAATCATGCTGCCTCTAGTCAACCATCTAAGACTAAAGTAACTGCAAAGGCTGTTTATAACTGCTTTATCTAATTCTTAGTGGCTAAAACATTTCACTGTATTAAGTTCCAGGGCTGGCAGAGAAATTACTCTTAAATATTATGTCTTTGGGTATTGAAGTTAAGTAACAACGACACAGACCTTCTGAGAGCATCCAGATGCAAGCTCATTGAGCCTTTTCAGGCTAAGAAAGAATTAGCAAAGTAAATACTTAAATTAACAAATCAAATCTGAAACACCAGTTGACATTTTTGTAGCAGTAGCAAAAACCCTTTTCAATCATCATAGCTCACTGAATTGTGCGCAAGAGAAAAAAAAAAAAAAGGAACATTTTACAGTCTGCTGTATATGACTGAGATACACCTCACCTATGAGGACTGCTCCAAAAGTAATGCCCAAACCCACTGCAACAGAGGTGGATGGTGGTAGTAAGTCAGTGGAGGGTAATATCCCAACAATATCCTGTTTCATTTTGGTGCCAGCAGCAAAGGGGCAGTCTGACAAAATGGTATCTGACACAGAAGAGTGTATGAAGTAAAGGTGTGTCACTGAACTCTCCATGTGGAAAAAATCAAATCCATTGACATGCACTAATGCTTGATGAACATTTGTGGAGACCAAACAGTGGATGTGAGCAGAGTTAGGTGGTGGGTGTGAGCAGAGTTAGGTGGTGGTGGGCATTTCAGCAATGGTGACAACAGTGGGTTACCTCTGTTGGTACAGATTTTTATGAGCTCAGCACACAGGCTTTTGTTCATTGCTATTGAAATGCATAGCTAATCAGGCAATGGTGGTGAACATGTTGAAAAACACTGTTTTGTAGCTGAGAAGTTGCTCTCTCAAGTAGTTGCTACTCTTTGTATCTGTTGTAGTTTCCATGGAAACAAATAGAAGTTGGTGAAGCTGAAAATGGATTCATTTTTCATTAAAATTGACTATGTAAAAACTGACATATATCAATCTAACTGTTAAAACTTCTGCAACTAGTTTGAGAAAATTAGCCCTGTACAGATTTTATACACACACTTCATCATACAGAAACTGCCAGTCACAAATATGATTTCAAACCATAATGAAATGAAATGTTAAGCATGAACAACGCAAGACACACAGACAGCATTCAAATGAAAGCAGAAGCAAGTTTGAACTTGTACTTGTGATATGATAGCCCATATCACTACACACATAATCACAGAAGCAACTGTGATCCAACAACACGTGCCAATTAAATTAATGTCAATGTCTTTTCAAAATCAGTATTAGTTAAGATCCATGAAAGATACACAAAATCAAGTTATACCACTACAGCTCACTGAAGATGACACTCAAATCAGTATAGACAAACAGCTAACATTCAACGTACCCTTATGAAGCATTATTGGCTAGCCCTATCTGCAATGCTGTATATTACACACAAGATGCTAAAGAATGGATTTTAAAAGATCAAATAGCATAGAAATGATGGTATCTTTAAAAATCTTCAACCATTTATGTGAGAAAAAAGTAAATGGCTGTATGGTAAGAAGTTTAAATCTGAATAAAATGCTTTCATATAGTGTTCTTATGCAACTGACTGCCAAAAAAATATTTAGATACTCTGAATGAGAATGAAATTCAGAAAAAAAACATAAAACTAGCACTTCTGGCTAGCAGCCCTTAGACGTTACATATTAGGATATATTCTGCATTGTTGTGCTTTCACTTTCCTTCAGAGACATATTGTACAAAGTGTAACAAGAATTTTTTCTCTCCTTTGCATGTTGTCGCGAGCATCTTAAATGCCTAAACTCATTTTGAAAATGCTTTGAAACTCCTTTTCTTTAACTCACAGACACATTCACATTATGCCTTTCTACCTCATAGAGAATGTCAAGTCATAAGTTGACTGGGGATGCTTAAGACCTGTTTTTACTGCTACAACATGCTAATATAATCTATTAGCTATATGCTAATAGCTAATAGAGCTATTGAAGGTCTATGCTATACTCTTCTCCACTCCACAACATGTAAAAATTAGTTTAAGGAAGAACTTTTAAAAACTTAATCAGATAGTCATTTGTAATTTCTCAATATCTTTTTAACTGTGATAACATTGTCTTAATTGTACTAAGAAACTTACTTCTCCTCTTCCCAACATCCCCTTTGGAGGTAGCAGCTTCATTCAGGAGTACCATTCCCATGGTAATAGCAGCATCTATATCACCATTGTCAAGGAAACAGCAGATGTGCAGATACCTCAGAAAGCCACAAAGGCACAGCTAAAAGCTAAGGCTTTCAAGTTGATAAAAAATATTTATATATAAAACTGCATATCACAATCTACTGAACCAACAGATTCACCTGGGGGAAAAATAGGAATAACATTTTCCTTTGAGCATTCTACATAAAAGAGGAAAGAAGGTTGAAAAAGCTCTAACGAATAAGTCCTTATATAAGACATATGGCTTTTCAATAGTTATGAAAATAGATACTCTCCAATATTTTCCAATATTTGGTATATTGGAAAGTAAAGGATTTTATAAAATGAAGACTAAAAGAGCAAGAAATCATTCCTATTCCACAGCGGGTTTTTTTAATGAAAACTGAAACAGCTGAACTGCTTTATCTTTAATCTGCTTCTCAACATACATTTGCTTAGTCTTTAGTGTCATATTGCAGCAGAGAAACATCCCAGAGGCAAAGTCCTGAGTTTTATTGCCTAATTATTACTGTTAGGAATACAAACAACTACATAACAATAAAACAATTTAGCAAGATCTTAAACCATACAATTAATTGCTTACTTAAAACTTGATAAATAAAAAAGAATGATTGCTACTTACTGTGTTTAAAATCTGTTCTGAAGAGGAAGCATGAATGAATGTCACACTGAAGCAGGAGTATGTCACCTGAGCTATATCTCACAGTTTCAGAAAATAGAAATTTTAATAGAGACAGCTAAATCTTGAATAAGGGAGAGATTTTTAAACTTCACTTTCCCCAGGGCTAGGCAGCAGGATGGCAGACTAACTACCAAATTTAAGAATGAGACACATTTCAATTTACCTACACATATAATACAGAAGATGCTTCACACATACTACAGACATGAACAATATTTCCAGCCTCTTATACCTGCATTAGTGTTATTAATATTAACATTTTTACATTAACAATTTTCAAAATTAGACAAAAATTCTCTAATATATCCGAAATTTCAGTTATATGATTTCAATTACAGTTAAGTGAAGAGTAATAGAATTTAAAAAAAAGCAAGCACTAGTGGCAAAATGTGATATGTGTTCACACACATATCAGCCCACAGGCAATGTCAAGGCAATGTAAGTTAAAACAATTTTTCAGGCATGGACATCCTCCAATGGTCCTAAATTAAGACACTTGCAACACATGCATAACGTAGAAGGCATGGGCTCACTTGGATTAAATTGTTAAGGCTGAGTTTTGAACAAAATCATTGTTTAGAAATGTGAAAAACTGTGGATCTACTTCCTCGTGAAATTAGGCATTCCCCATCTTTCCAATGATGCTGCCCACTTTACTAGAGAGAGAAGAATGCAATATTCTTAATGGCAGAGAAAAGCAAGGAAAATACTGCAACCAAAGCCCAGCAATTCTAGGGAATAATCTCCCTGGATTCCCAGTCTCAAGGCTATTTATAGTTTGTTGTTCTTTATCCCCCAAGGCATCAGAGTAAATATACAATGGAATTTATTATTAAATCTATGTTAAGAGAGATATCGGAATCACTATTATTTTCTCTTTGAACGGCTGTTTTGAAAGAAGAGCTCTAAAATTTCTTGAAGGCAAAAATAAGCTGGTATTACTGTGAATGCTTCAGACATAGACATTATATTATTACAGAGAAGACTGCAGATGAAAGATAAAAGGAAAGCAAGAATAAAATAGTAGATAATTATACAAAGACTTTGGAGGTTAAGATAATGAAAATTTTGTTTCTTGGAGCATATTGAAACACAAGAGGTTTTCTTGTATTTCACCAGGAACACGGAACATCAGGAAACACTTCTTAACTGTGTGGGTAATGGAGCACTGACACAGGGTGCCCAGAGGCTGTGGAGACTCCTCCTTGTAGATCTTCAGAAATCACCTGGATGTCGCTCTGGGCACCTGCTCTAGGTATCTCTGCTGGAGCAAGGGTGGGATCAGGACCCAGAGGGTCCTGCCTACCTCAACCACTCTGTGACTCTGTGAAAATGCTTTATAATGGTCATGAGGATCTGTCATGTTTTAAACATATAGCTCATTCATCACACAGTTATCAAAAATCTTATTAATGGATATTAAAAATAAGCTGCCTCAAACATGTTTTCCCTTATGTCATTGTTGGGTTTAATCATGTTTTCATTAAAGCCACAGGCTAAAGGAAACTTTAAACATGACTTCTTTAGAAGTTCACATCAGGCCTAGTGTTACAGATAATGTAGAGTATATTTAAATGCATTGTTCATGAATGGATTTTATCTGCTACAAAATTCAGTAAAACACATATTTCAAAAGTACTTAATAAATTGAGCAATATGGAAAACATAACAAAAACATCCCAGGAGCTAAAATGTAGGCTTCATAGAATATTTTAAAATCTTTCCCAAAATAGCTGGGGGAAGGAGGAGGAGGAATGGAATCCACACTATTATACAGATTAGAAGAGAAGGTAAAAAAAATCATCTTCTAACCTCTCTGTTTTTCCTAAGCACAAGACTGGAAATTTCTTGTGCTACTCATATGCTTCTATGCAAGACTAGAGAAGGTGTCATGAAACTTATTCATTTCTCTGCTTTCAAATGTTAAGAATGCAAAAAAAAAAAAAAAAAAAAAAGCAAAAAAAAAAAAAAAAAAAAAAGCAAAAAAAAAAAAAAAAAAGAATTGAAAAAGTTGCAAGAAAGGCTGAAAGAAATACCACCCAGATTCCACATATATTTCTAGCTTATCAATAAAAGCCCCTAGCATTGAATTATCTAACAACTTTATTTTACCAATCTCTCATTTAGATTTATAACAGTAATTAATTTTGTTCTTAATTTAACTGAATCATGAGGAATGACAAAGAACAAAACCCACTGAAAAGCTATTTGGCAGATATGAATTTTTTGTGTTGTTGTTTTTTTTTTTAAACAGACAATGATTTTTAGTCCTCTTTTCCTATTACTGGGAAGAACAGTTTGACAAAAGCAACGTCTCCTCTGCAACTGAGAGCAGATCTATAACCAGAAGAACTGTGCTTTCCAACTCCCCCCTATTTCGGAGACTCACATCATTACCTTCCAACTTCCTTCACATTGTCACTACTTTTGCTTCAGTTGTTGCTTTCTAACTTCAGTCATGGATTTTCAGCCTCACTTAGTTGATGTCAATGACACTGGCTTTATAACTTCACACTCTTAACAGTGATTGAATAACTTACTTTAAATCTGTGATGTTGAAGCAAAACTTCAGTCAGTTGAGTCCTGATTTTAATGCAATCACTAGCTTTGCACCATAGAATATTTAGTTTAAATTACTATTTTGGGCTCCTCTTTCTAGCACTGTATGTTATGTCTTTATGTTATTTTGATATTCCACAAAGTGAAAGCAACAGTCCTGTTCCAGAAATAATCTACATATCTCATTTCTTCAGCAAAGTAGAATTTAAAGTTTTGTCAACTAGTTACTTGGATGGTCTTCCATCTTCAAAAAATTTAATAGCATGAAAAGATGTACTTGTTTTCTGATTTCTGTTGATTTCTGTCACTATGCATTATGAAACTACTCTGAAAAGACAAGGCAAATGTGGACTCAGACAAATGATAGCTAGCAAATATTTTAAACTCAGATGTTTATGTTTTCTGGTAAACATATCCTTTTGTAGCAATTTTGTAGGTGAATCTACAAAATTAATTTTTGTAAAATATCTTTCCATTGTTAAATTTGGAATTGTTTCAGTTCTACTTGTTAAACTTCTGCTGCCCCTTTTCCTAGATGGCACATAATCCTCACTGAAATGGAGAACTTTACACTAGTTACTTAGTGCTTTTGAAAAGCTTCTGAATACTTTGATAAATGAGGAGCAGTTTAGTAGTATGATGAAAAACAGTGATGATCAAAATTCATAAGATTATTCATAAAATGATCATCATCAGCAGAGTATTAGCTCTGCAAATACCAAGATGTTTTATTGGAAGTATTTTTAAGAAAAATGATTGGATCAATAAACTCTGTAATAATAGATACCTTACAAAATGTAAGTGATCACTAGTAAATTCTGGGTAGTTTCTATTAGCATGCTTTGACTGAAAATTTAATTGCTATTAATTCCAGCCAGAATGTCCCAAAGAAGAAAGCTTGGCAATCTGTAAGTTATTAATGTCATATACCATTTATATCTTTACTTCACAAATTTAGTCATAATCGCTAGTGAGTGGGTAACAAAAGGAGAGAAAATTAGTTGAGAGAAAACTTGCTAACTTTGTAAAAAAAGTATAGAGGTCTCATTCATATGTTACTGGATTACTGCTAACAGTAAAAATCCTAAATCAACATTATTCATATTAAGAACTATGTTGTATCTGTGGACCATTTAATAATATATGAGCAAAAATAACTAAGGGACAAAATGTTAATTCGCTCAACTCTGTGTTCAATTTATTGTTAACTAAAATGGGGATAGTTTATTTCTCAACATTTAAAAACTTCTTGCTCGCTTTATCATACTGAACAAGAACACAAGCATCTTTAGTAAAGGGGTATGAAGATTAACAGGAAAATCTATGATTTACTGTATTTTTTTTTCCCCCTGAGGAATAATAAGTAAAACATGATATGCTATCCCCTTATGAGAAGAAGGTATATCCCACCAACCTAGAAAATTATTTGCTTTAGCTTCTTTCTACTAATATTTAAACCTTTAAAATACCTGCTATAATTTCAGATATATTGAATATATATTAACTACATTTTAACTGCGCAGTTTCAAAGTGTATTTAACTTTCAGCTTACATCTGAAAAACCCAAACATAACATGCATTCCAATCACTGTATTCAGGAAGTACTCTTTAGCTATGTCCAATTCTTGAAAATGAAGTGTTAGTAACTTTTCCATCTTGCGAATCTGACGTTTTTTATGATAGGGTGAAGAAACTAATCAAGAAAAGTTATGGTTTTGAAATGAAAGACATTGTTGCTTCATTTCATGAGCAA